CCAGTTTCCTCCAAATTTATCACTCTTTCCTCAGTGACATCAGACACGTCTGATACAGTATCCCTTGGGGAAACCTCTCTTCCAGTTTCTTCCAAATTCTTCACTCTTTCCTCAGTGATATCAGACACCTCTGATATAGTGTCCCTTGGGGAAACCTCTCCTCCTATTTCTTTCCAATCTGCCTCCATTTCCACAGTGCTGGACATCATTTCTGGTATTTTCTCTCTTGGAGACTTGTCACTTTCAGTTTTCCCTAAATAGGACTCCTTTTCCTTAGTAGAATTAGCCTCCACTGATATGCTCTCCCTTGGTAAGGTTTCTTCCATTCTTGTAATTTCTCTCAAAGGTGCTGCGAACTGCCCAGATTCAATCTCCTCTGACACCTCTTTCTTTGAGAAAATTTCTCTTCTTCTAGCTCCTCTTCCTATATTTGGCTTTGGTTTCTGAAATCGAGTCTTTAGAACAGGGACCTTCTTATCCTCTTGAATACTATATAAGTATAAAAAAAAAAAAACACACATACAATCAAATTTTAAACCATACTGCCAGCTAAAGAAAGGATGGTTGAGAAAATATTACTGAAAGACGAGGAATTCTCAACTAAAAAAATAAACTAAGAAAGCCTCAGGTATCTCAGGGTAAAACCTAAACATTAAAGGAGAGGGAAAAAACCATGTTTTGAAATCATGAGTTTTTAAAATATCTACTCACACAGAGACATGTATAAAGATAAATCTATCAATAAGGTCAATTAGAGTAGTAGTCAACTGGCTCTGAACCGTACCTAATTGTCAACCACACAATCCTTCCCAAATACTGGCTAAGAGTCTCCAGTCCTCTACAATGGAGCTAGACCAAATTATGTCTACTATTCCTACCTCTTGGCCCCTCCTATCCTTTATCCAGACATATGCATTGCCTTAAGAGTTAGGCAACACATTTATATGGCCAGATTTGACCAGCATCTCAAATAGCCATATTGAAGTATGACCTGAACAAAAAAGTATAAGAAAGGCCAGACTTTAAATGTGAAGATTGAAAAAATACTAGTAATAGTTGAAACTAAAAGGGCACCTGGGTGGCTCAGCTGTTAGGCATCTGCCTTCAGCTTGGGTCATGATCCCAGGGTCCTGGGATCAAGCCCCACATTGCACTCTCTGCTCAGCAGAGAGCCTGCTTCCCCCTCTCTTTCTCTCTCTCTCTCTCTCTGCCTATTTGTGATCTCTGTCTGTCAAATAAATAAATATTTAAAAGGAAAACAAAACAAATAATAAATAGTGGGGTGCCATGGGTGACTCAGTCGTTGAGCGGCTGCCCTTGGCTCAGGTCATGATCCCGGGGTCCTGGGACTGAGCCCCGAATCGGGCTCTCTGCTCAGTGAGAAGCCTGTTTCTCCCTCTCCCCGGCTTGTGTTCCCTCTGTAGCTCTCTCTCTCTGACAAAATAAATGAATAAAAAAACACATTTATGTGTGTTTAAAAAAAAAAACACACATAAAAAACTACATATAGTAGTGCAAAGGAGTCCACTATTCTGTTCTCATTACTTTTGTGCACACTGAATATTTCCAAAGGAAAAACATTTTCCAAAGTATACTAGTAATTCCATAGATTTTGTTTGGTACCCTCCAGAGGGGACATAACAAATTAAAAAAACCGCATGTGGCTAAAAGAAGTATGTGTTTCTATATATGGGTTTTTCATAAAATTTATGTGAATAAAGGTCATATGTGGATCAATCTAATCCCAAAGAAACAATGAGAAGAAAATAAGTTGCATTTCATGTTTGAACATAGACATTTAATCTAATATGCATATTAATCAGGTCTAATTTATGAGGAGTAAATCAACTCATCAAATCACTAGTAACTAAGAAATTAAGAAGAAAGCTATGGGACGCCTGGGTGGCTCAGTTGCTTAAATGGCTGCTTTCAACTCAGTATGATCTCAAGGTCCTGGAATCAAGTTCTGCATCGGGCTCCTTGCTCAGTAGGGAGCCTACTTCTCCCTCTGCCCCTGCCTGTCACTCTGCTTGCTCATGCTCTCTCTCTCTCTCTGACAAATAAATAATAAAATCTTAAAAAAAAAAAAAAAAGCTATGACATAAATTGCCCTGAAAAGTCTAGTTATATAGTGAATATCTTGTAATCTGATACATAAAAAATCTATCTGATTTGCTTTTGTTTTAAAAAATTAAACATTTCTAAAACCTCATACAAAATTCAAAGATTACATAACCATTAAGATGATGCTTACCTTACACATTCATTAACATTCATTTGGAAAAAATTATCTTCTTTCTCAGACTGTAATGTGATGTCTTCAAAGTCAACGTTTTTACATGACTGATCTTCTACTTGTTCAGGACTCTTAACAACAAACACATTTTTAAGTTTTCACAATGAAACACTCATTTATAAAAAATTGCATTGAAAACTTTGTCCAATTTGAGTATAAAGAAAATGGTAAATGTTTCACAATTATAAAATGATACTCAAAGGACACTTTTCAATGTTATTTAAATATCTTTAAAAAATCTCATAAGCTACACCTTCTACCTTATCTCAAAGCCCCCATTCTTTTCCTCTTAATCAGAAAGCAAGTTATAGCACTTCAGTCTTGTCTCTTAGAATTATTCCCAGGGGTCTGTCTTCTGCTTAGTACCATTACCGTATAGACCTTGAGAATTTTAACAAAAGAAATTCAAATGTAACTATGATCTGAACTCTTACCCTTATCATAAAGACTAGCTATTATGTAAATAACCTAAAATTCATCATCTTTGCTCTTGGAATTCCATTTTAATAGGAAGCTTTTAACATTTTACTTTGTTTAAGCCAGAGCTAAAATTCACATATCTAGTTATATTTTCAAAAAAGAGGCATAATCTAAACACCTAAATAATGTGGAGGGGGGAGGCAAGTAAACATGAGGTAGTAAGATCAAAGCAGATGCTCCATTATGTAAATGCTCAAAATCTAGATGGCTCAGAGTTAAACAGCTTTACAAGTAGCAAAGCTGCTGGCTCTTAAGATTTTGGCTTTAAATTTAATATACAATGTATACAACGGTACAGTCTTGCTGTTTAAAAAGGGGGGTAAAAGAAGGCTTAAGTACTTAATAAAAAAATTGGAAAGAATCAGAGTACTTACATCTCTAGCAACACAGGATTCACTTTCATTCTTTTTTACATTGGCCTCAATTTTTTCCTGTGATGCTAGAATTTTTCTTTCAGCAGCTTTACCTACATTTGGCTTTGGCCTTTGCAATCGGCTCCTCATTAGTCGTGCTGGTCTGACAGTCTTTGTTTGATCATCTTCCTGCAGACCAATTTTTTCACTCAAACCAGAACTACAAAAGAATAGAACTATGGTTATTCTGAAGTTACATGTTTGTTTTCAGCATTGCCTTCTCCAAGATACGAATAAGTAAACCATTTGGAATATAAAAATAATTACAAGTGGGGCGCCTGGGTGGCTCAGTGGGTTAAGCCTCTGCCTTCGGCTCAGGTCGTGATCCCAGGGTCCTGGGATCGAGCCCCACGTCGGGATCTCTGCTCAGCGGGGAGCCTGCCTCCACCTCTCTCTCTGCCTGCCTCTCTGCCTACTTGTGATCTCAGTCTGTCAAATAAATAAATAAAATCTTTAAAAATAATAATAATAATAATAATCACAAGTGTCCTCAAAAACCTCCTCAAAGGGGCGCCTGGGTGGCTCAGTGGGTTAAGCCTCTGCCTTCGACTCAGGTCATGATCCCAGAGTCCTGGGATCGAGCCCCGAATCGGGGCTCTCTGCTCAGCAGGGAGTCTGCTTCCCCCTCTCTTTCTGCCTGCCTCTCTGCCTACTTGTGATCTCTGTCTGTCAAATAAATAAAATCTTAAAAAAAAAATCTCTAAAAAAAAAAAAAATCCTCAAAGTTACCCCTGTTTCTAAACCTTAACGTTTTGGGACAGACATTATCCTGGAACCCTAACTATAAAAATAATTTCATCACAAAACTGAAAACCATCTATATTTGACATACACTTAATACCATTCTCCACTAAGAATACTAGTTTGTAATGTACACCTCCAGGGCCCTAGACAAAGATTATGGCATAAATGTACAGTCCAGAATCCAATGGTTCAAATTCATATTACAGTAAGACCTACTCCGAATCTGCATTCCTAGTTAAATATTCCTTTTTGAAACTACCTGCTATCCAGAAACATGTACCTTAACTAATTAATCTAGTAAGACTTTGGTAAAATCCTGTTAGTAAGTTGAGGAAGAAATATAATTGCAAACCCAATAGATCCGTATCATAATTTATTTCTCCAGCAGCATAAAGAGCACTACTGAAATGTTTCAATACACCTACAGTTAAAAGAAGACTTAAGCACACTAAATGGAAATAAAATTCTGACATTATCCAGTACAGAACTTATTACAGTCATTCTTAAAATCTACTTGAATTCTACTTCCTAAATACTTACATAGATACAGTCTCAGCTTCTGAGTTCTCTCTCTCTATATTCTCCATTCCAGAAATGTCCAATGTATTCACTTTATCCTTTTCCATATGATTCTATAAATTTAATTTTTTACATTTTATTGACTTAACATAAAAAAGTCCAAACTTGGCAATAAATGGAAATTAAAACAATGACATTTCATTTTTTGTTCTTCTAATAATAACAGTTCTATAAATCATAGATGCAGCTGTGAACACTATAAAACATGTAATTCCACCTACTACTGACAGGAACAAAAATTGGTATATCCTTTCTGGAAAGCCTTTTGCCCAAATGAAATCAAAAGCCTAAAACACGTTCATACTCGGGCACTTGGGTGGCTCAGTTGGCTAGCATCTGCCTTCGACTGCTGTCATGACCTCGGGGTCCTGGGATCAAGGCCCATGTTGGGCTCCCTGCTCAGAAGACAGTCTCCTTTACCCTCTCCCTCTGCCCCTTGCCCCTATTACTGGTCCACGCTCTCTCTCTCTCTCTCTCTCTCTCTCAAATAAATAAAATCTACTAAAAAAATGTTCATACTATAATACCATTTCTAAGATTCTAAGTAAATATTTAGACAAACTACAAGAATGTTCACTAGAATATTATATAAAATGTCAAACACCGTGAACAGACTAAATATTCTATAATGAATAAATGGTTAAATTCAGTTTTACCCACTGACAGAATATTATGAAGTCACTAAAGACCATGTTATCAAAGGATATTTAATAATATAGAAAAATATTTATGAAATGTTAAGAACTGAAGAAAGATATAAAACTGAATACTACTAAATTCTGTAATAGAAAAATTAGAAGGATATATGCTAAAATGTTGGTTGCAGCTGGATAATGAGATCACAAGTACTCTTTGTCTTGATTTTTAAAATAATCTGTACTTTCCCAATTTTCCTGAATTTTATAAGATTATAATAACCGGGGGCAACTGGGTGGCTTAGTCAGTTAAGAGTCTGCCTTCTAGCTCAGATGATCCCAGGGTCCTGGGATCGAGCCCTGAGTCAGACTCCCTGCCTAGCAGGGAGCCTGCTTCTCCCTCTACCTCTGCTGCTCCCCTTGCTTATCCTCTCTCACTCTCATTCAAATAGATAAATAAAAATCTTTAAAAATTTTAATTTTTGAAAATGTATATATGTTAAAAGAGATTTGTTGCTAATGAGTATGTTTGAAATGATATGTCCTAGATTCCAAATGCATAAACAGGAGATAAGATACATTTCATATTCATGTGTAAGTTCTCACACCTTTGTTTTAGTATCAGTTACATTATCATGTAATTATCAACTAAACAATTTATTCCCAACTACTTAGGGAAAATTTTTGTAATCTTATTTTCTATAAAGTGTCTTATTCCATACCTTTTCAAATGAAGTTTCTGCATGTAAACTCTTGCTCTTTGCATCTGTTTTACCTTGTGAAAGAACAGATTTCTTCCCAACTGCCCTTGATAAATTGGGTTTAGGTCTCTGTAGTTGTCTTCTTCCCATTAGTTTAACATTTCCTGACTGATCTGTTTCCCTAAGAAATGAAAATTATTTTTATTTTTTTAAATGAACATTATTTAAATCACACCAACACAGAGGCATAGTCAAATAAAATTTGGAAAAATTCTTTAAAAATCCACTCAGAGGTAGAAAAGAAGTCCTTTAGGTTTACTCAGACAAAGAGTAGCAAAGAAAACTGAAAAACAAGAGTTGTGAGGAGGCAACTTATTTTACCAGATGCTAAAAAGCAACTATGCAGCATTAATAACTAAAACACTGGTACTGATAACATGAATAAACAGATAAATGAAACACAAAAGAAAACATAGAAGATGACTTCAAAACACATGAAAGAGGGGCGCCTGGGGAGCTCAGTGGGTTAAAGCCTCTGCCTTCGGCTCAGGTCATGATCCCAGGGTCCTGGGATCAAGCCCCGCATTAGGCTCTCTGCTCCACAGGGAGCCTGCTTCCTCCCCTCTCTCTCTGCCTGCCTCTCTGCCTACTTGTGATCTCTGTCTGTCAAAAAAATAAATAAAATCTTTTTAAAAAACCACATGAAAGAAGTATATTTTAAAAGGCAGCATTTAAAACAGCAAGAATGAAATACAAAATAATGTATTGTTACAAACAATATCAAAAGCAATGGTGATGGGAAAACTAACACTGGGGACTAAAATAAGATTAGCTCCATTTCTCGCACTGTACTTGTAGCATGTTCCAACGCATCAGAGTTAAATAAAGCCATACAGTCAACAAGGATGAATTCTTTTATAACCCTGAGTTGGGGTAAGCCTTTATAAAGTTTAACTAAAAATTCATGAGCCATAAAAGAAAAAAAGAGAGAAAATTCAGAAATTTAACTACATAAAAATCAAAAACTTCTACATGACTAAGCCAAAAGTCAAACTACCGACCAAGAAAGGATGTTTTGCAAATCACAGAACAAGGCTAATCTCCCTAAAATAAAAAGAGCTCCTACAAATAATAGCATAAAAAACTCATTTTAAACCTGGACAAAGAGAGGATCCTGAGTTGCTTAGTCAGTTGAGTGCTGGCCTCTGGCTCAGAGCATGATCCCAGGGTCGTTGGGATCAAGCCCCGCATGGGGTTCCCTGCTCAGTACACTACTACAAATGTTATTTTGTCATTTTTACGATTTTGTTTCTCTAACTTACTTTAATTGTAAGATTACAGCAAATAATATACATAACATACAAAATATGTGTTATCATTCAATTATGTCATCAGGCTTCTGGTCAACAGTAGACCATTGGTAGTTCAGTTTGGAAGAGTCAAAGTTATTTGTGGATTTGCAACTGCCAAAGGGTCAGTATCCCTAACCACTGTGTTGTTCCTAAGGGTCCACTGTACTTACTTACAGGTTAAAGGACAGAGGTTTAAGATTTTAAGCACTGTTTGAAAAAATAATCTACATAACCATCAGTTGAGCTTTGATTATATAAACTCTAATCCATCTATATACACTAGAACACTATGAAGTGCTCTCTTCAGCAGCACACAAACACCAGAACACTATGCACTAGGCAGCTATTCAAAAATAATAAGGAATATCTTCATGCAAAGGTATCAAGATATAAAACAAATAAATTGCAAATGGTGTCTGTGTGAGTGTGTGTCTGTACACACATATATTATCATTAGGGTTTTAAGAAGAGTAAAAAAAAATATAAAGAACATGTATTTGCATTAGCTTTAAAGTACTTTTTTTTAAATCTCAGAAAGAAAATCAGAAATAAATACACACGGGGCGCCTGGGCGGCTCAGTGGGTAAAGCCTCTGCCTTCAGTTCAGATCATGGTCTCAGAGTCCTGGGATCAAGCCCCACATCGGGCTCTCTGCTCAGCAGGGAGACTGCTTCCCCCTCTCTCTCTGCCTGCCTCTCTGCCTACTTGTGATCTCTCTCTCTCTGTCAAATAAATAAATAAAATCTTAAAAAAAAAAAGAAAGAAATTACACAAGTTACTTAGAGTGAATGCAGACATAGGAGGAGGGATATTTTACTCTTTTTACACTTCTAGGTGTTTGTGCCATAAGACCATTTTGCCTATTCCAAAGAGTAAACTTTCGTTAAAAAAAAAAAAAAAAGTTTCATTTTCAGTGTGACTGTGCTTTACTGAAAATAAATAAGAATTCATAAACTAAATAGCGTGGGGGCGCCTGGGTGGCTCAGTGGGTTAAAGCCTCTGCCTTCAGCTCGGGTCATGATCCCAGGGTCCTGGGATCAAGCCCCGCATCCGGCTCTCTGCTCGGCAGGGAGTCTGCTTCCTCCTCTCTCTGACTGCCTCTCTGCCTACTTGTAATCTCTCTCTGTCAAATAAATAAATAAAATCTTTAAAAAAAGAAAAAAAAAAAAAACTAAGTAGCGTGTAAGCCTATATGAGGAGTTTAGGAGGGACTCAAGTAAGTCTGAATTTCTGAGCTATCTCTTTTCAAAGGCAGATTCTTGTAGTGTTTTTATTCTGTTTTTAGTGCAAATATTAATCAATATTTACACACTAGGAAACATAATAATTTCTTTAAAGTCATCAATATAAAAAATCTACTACTTTGAAAAATGATTCAAACCAAGTAAAAGTATCTAACAACAAATGTTTAGGCTTCCAAATTATTTTAGAATTTCAGCATAAGTCACCACCGTGCATAAAATTCCTATCATGGTTATAAAAGAGCATCTTTCTATAATGAAATATAAAGTGATAAGCCCTTATGTCACAATCAGACCACAGTACAATTATATATTAAATGGTGTACCATCCCCTTTCTAATCCCTAAAAAAAGAAACATTATCCTTTCTTAAATAAGAAATCATCACAATTTTGAAAATAAATTTTAAAATCCTAACATATAAAATACTTACAATGATTTATTTTTTAGGTCAACACTGCTTTCTTCTGTATAATTCCTTTCAACATTATTCACCTCACACAGTGCACTAATTCCAGCTTCTGATAAAGGCAAACCTGAAGGGCTTGATTCTGAAGCTTCAGTTCCTAATGATGTGGTATCTTGTTGACCACTAAGCAAATGAAAACACAGGAGGAAAAGAATTCTTAGTAATATGTGTTTTATAATAACTACTTATAATAATTATAATAACTACTTAAAATATTTTTTAATATATAAAACAACGGGGAAAATGATACTTTGTATTTTGGAATTATCAATATAAATATTTTGGCTTTTCTATGATCCTTCTTGTACCATATTGTTAAAAACTGTTCCTTCAGGAGTGCCTGGGTTGCTCGGTCGGTTGAGCATTCAACTCTTGATTTTGACTCAGGTCATGACCTCAGGATGGTGAGATCAAGTCCCAAGTCAGGCTCCACAATGAACGTGGAGGCTGCTTAAGATTCATAACTCTAGGGAACAACCTGAGGGCTGCTGGAGGGGAGGAGGTTGGGGGATGGGATAACTGGGTGATAGTCATTAAGGAGGGCGCTTGATATAATGAGCACTGGGTATTATATGCAAGTGATGAATCACTAAAATCTACCCCTGAAATTATTAATATACTATATGTTAACTAACATGAATTTAAATAAAATCTTAAGAAAGAAAGTTTTCTACCAAAAAAAAGAATCAATCTCTCCCCCTCCCTCTGTCCTCTCTCCCTACTCGCACACACTCCCTCTCTCTCAAAAACAACCAACCAACCAACCAACCAAAAAAAACCTGTACCTACAGAGAAAGTAACAGCCACAAATTAAAAGGCATAGGAAAACACTCAAGTCAAAATGAAAAATTCTTTATATGGGGTTGACAAATCAAATCTATGTGCAAAATCAGAGCAATATTAAGGAATAATCTCTCATTTCAATCTTATACAGGCAGGCCCTGCTTTGCATGGTAGTCTGTTAACCAAAAGTTGTATAAATCTGAGGACACAGTGCCAATATGCATAAGCTGCAGTTAGCACTGTATGCCAAGGCAAGACTGCCATATTATGAAATACTCCAACTAATAATGATATAAATGATGGCCATGTACTAACTGGCACCCAGAAGCAACATATACGACATTCACCTCATTCTTCCTACTAGGTGTTTTTCTTTTCCCAACTAATCAATAAGAGCTCTTTATATGTTATTTGCTGGTTAGATACCATATATAAAACCTCCCCAATAGTAGCTTGCCTTTCACTTTCCTTATGAAACCTTTTGTCAAAAGAAATAGTTTACTGTGGTCAAATTCGTCAATTTTATCTTTTAAAGTTTTGCTTTTCACACCTTAAGAAATCCTTGACATCACAAAGGGATTTCCAAATACCTTCTTCTAAAAGTTTTCAAGATTTGCTTTACATATGATTTTATTTATTTATTTATGGGGTGGGGGGCAGGAGCACACACAAGCAGGGGGAGTGGCAGGCAAACGGGAAGGCAGGCTCCATGCTGAGCAAGGAACCCAACACGAGACTCAAGACTCGATCCTACGACCCTGGGATCATAACCGGGCCAAACACTAACCAGTGTCTGCCAACTGACCCACAGACTAAGTGGCTCAGCTGGCAGACACTAACTAACCGACCCACTCAGCATCCTTGTAGCCCTGAATCTATCAGAAATTTAGCATACGGGGTGAAATAAGGACCGAATACTATCTAAGATTTATCTAAACATCTAGTGAATATTTCATTCAATCTTCACCCACTAATTTCTAATGTTACCTCTGCCCCATTTATCAGATTCCTAAATTTTTCCCCCTAGGCTTTATATTCAGTTCTGCTGAGATAATTTGTCCTTGTGCCAGTAACACACTACTTTAATTACTCCAGCTTTAGATTAAGTATTAATACATTTTCACCCAAGAAATGTATTTCAAATTGTCTTTACCACTCATGACACTTTGCTCTTGTATAATTGATAATTTAAGAATCAGCTGTTTTGGGGCACCTGGGTGGCTCAGTGGGTTGAGGCCTCTGCCTTCAGCTCAGGTCATGATCTCAGGGTCCTGGGACTGAGCCCCACGTCAGGCTCTCTGCTCAACAGGGAGCCTGCTTCCCTTCCTCTCTCTCTGCCTGCCTCTCTGTCTACTTGTAATCTCTGTCAAATAAATAAATAAAATCTTTTAAAAAACAAATAAATAAATAAATAAATGTCTGTCACCTAGCAAATTAAGGACCCAAGGTCCATAGGCCCAGCTTCAAAGAAACTATTAATCTTCCGAATTGTATGAACTAGCACAGACAGACAAGTTGGACAGTATCAAACTAAAAAGCTTCAGCACAGCAAAGGAAATAATCAACAAGATCAAAAGACAACCTATGGAATGGGAGAAAAAAATCTGTAAACTATTAATCTGACACAAGCTTAATATCCAAAATATAACAGGTATGCCTATAATTCAATTAAAATAACCTAATTAAAAAATATGAAAGGGAAATGAATAGATATCTCTCCAAAGAAGACATACAAATGGCCAATAAGCATATGTAAAGCTCCTCAATCACTAACGGAGAAATGCAAATCAAAACCATAATGAAGTATCATCTCACTTATGTCTGAATAACCACCTTCAAAACACAAAGAAAACAGAAAATAGTAAGTGTTGGTGAGAATACGGAAAACTGGTATCTTTGTGCACTGCTGATGGGAAGGTAAAATAGCACAGCCACTGTGAAGAACAGTGGGGAGGCTCCTCAAAAAGTTAAAAATAAAAAAGTGCCTGGCTGGCTCATTCAGTACAGCATGTGACTTTTGATCTTGGTTGTAAGTTTGAGCCCCACATTGAAGTTAAACTATTTTTTAGGTAAAAAAATAAAATAAAATAAAATGTAAAAAAAATTAACAGAACAATCATATGATTCAGTAATCCCTGTTCTGGGTATTTATCTAGAAGAAATTAAGAAATGGAAACAGAACCTCAAAGAGATATCTGCATTCCAATGTTTATTACAGCAATATTTAAAATAGCCAAGAGAAGGAAACAGCCTAAATGTTCAGAGAGATGCATGAATAAAGAAATATATAAAAAAAAGGAAATACTGTCAAATGCTGCAACACAGATGAAACCTGAAAACATTATGCTAAGTGAAATAAGCCACTCAGGGGATGCCTGGGTGGCTCAGTTGGTTAAGTGTCAGGTCATGAGATCGAGCCTTACGTTGGGCTCCACACTGAGAGTAGAGCCTGCTGCGGATTCTCTCTCTTTCTCTTTCTCTGCCCCTACCCTGCCCAACCCACCCTCGTGCTTGCTCTCTCCCAACAAAAAAAGAAAGAAAAGGAAAAAAGAAACCCATGCAAACACCAACCACAAGACAGCTGTAGCAAAGTAAACATCAGAACAAAAAGCAGTATCAGTGGGGCGCCTGGATGACTCAGTGGGTCAGGCCTCTACCTTCCGCTCAGGTTATGGTCTCAGTATCCTGGGATCGAGCCCTCCATCGGGCTCTCTACTCCTCGGGGAGCCTGCTTCCCCCTCTCTCTCTGCCTGCCTCTCTGCCTACTTGTGATCTCTCGTCTGTCAAATAAATAAATAAAATCTTAAAAAAAAAAAAGAGCAATATCAGAATGATACACACAAATGATAAAAGGGTGATTTCACCAAAATACAACAACTCTAGTTACGCATGCACCTAACAAGAGCTTCAAAAGAATTGAAGAAAAACAAATACAACTGAAAAGAATAACAGGCAAGTTCACAGTTACAGCTGGAGACTTCACTCCCCTCTCAGTAACTGACAGGAGATGTAAACAAAGTCAGTAAAGGTATAGAAAAATACCTTGATGAAAGGATAGGGTCAGTTCTTTTCTCAGCTTTTTCACTGGAGGATAAATGCACAATGTCATCCATATTCTGTATGCAAGAAAGCTTCTGTTCCTTATTGACTTCATCTTCATTTATCTCCCTTAAAGACTGACCTTTATCTATGAATACAAAATGCACGTTATTCTAAGAACATCAACTTCTTAAAGCACAAAGGAATTTACATAAAACAGCATTTTTCCTACCAATCATTAAAGCATTCCATATTCAAGTTCCTCTATGTAAGGCAGGGATCTTAATTTTAGAACATTAATGAAAAGTTAATTTAAAAAAACAAATAAATAAAAATTTTTAAAATCTAAAAAATTTTAAAAATTAGAAAAAAGTGGGTTTTTTGGGTTTTTTTTAGAAAAAAGTTTTTAAGAGATTTTTTTTTAAAAAGATAATCAACTTACAATGTTTAAGTTGTAACTGTGTTTTGAGGATCACCCCAAATTTTCTGGGTAGTTTGTAGCATTCTTTTATCTTGCTTAAATTTTAAATGGTTAAAATAACTTGTTACAGGTAGACTCACCTATTCTGCTCCTTCAGAAAAATCATAATTAATAACATAGTAACAGCTATCATTTACTTAGTATTTACTAAGTGACAGAAACTTTAAGCCCATCAAATGCATTATCTCCTTTAATACTGAAAATAGTCCTATTAGAAGGTGGTAAACCCATCATAGAGAAAAAGAACCTGGGTTCAAGATCTTAGGTGACTTACCCAAGGTCTTAATTAGCAAACAAAAAAGCTGGAATCTAAACCAAGGTCTGTTTGATTTCCAAAGTCCAACTTCTTAATTACTGAGCTATTCTGCTTTTTATGTAGTATCTTTACTAGAATACCACAAATGAGTATAATATTATGATGCCTAAAAATTATACTACACTTCAACCAAGACTCATTTAGTAAAATCATATTGCTAAAACTGAATTACATAAAATTTAAATTCTATAGAAAGATTTTTCTGATTTGCTACTATCTTCTTCTTCTCTATTTACTTGATTATTTACTTTAAGTAATCCACATATGAATTCTTAAGAGACTAAAAATGCCCGAATCTCTTAGCCCTCATACCTTAGCAAATCCTGAGTGTCAAAATGCCTGCATTCTAAGGGAGCTAAAAAAAAGTAAGTAAGAAAGAAAGAAAGAATGAGAAAGAAGAAAAGAAATGAAAAAAGGGAGGGAGGAAGAAAGGAAGGAAATGGTAGGAAGGAAGGAAACATTTCAGTAGCTCTTGTATAAAAATTAAACAACTTATTGTGGATTCAAAGGTGCTCTGTAGACATAGATCATGAACACTTGTGGTTTATTAAGAGACACAAGCAATATACAGTTAACTATATACATTATAATGACTCCTAATCACTGTTTGGTTTTAAAAAAACCAAAACCAAACCAAAAAATCTTTTAAAAAAAGATCAAGACCTGAGCTGAAATCAAGAGTTGGATGGTTAACCGGGGCACCTAGGTGGCTCAGTGGGTTAAAGCCTCTGCCTTTGGCTCAGGTCATGATCCCAGGGTCCTGGGATCGAGTCCCACATCGAGCTCTCTGCTCAGCAGGGCTTCCTCCTCTCTCTCTGCCTGCCTCTCTGCCTACTTGTGATCTCTGTCTGTCAAATAAATAAATAAAATCTTAAAAAAAAAAAGAGTTGGATGCTTAACCAAATGAGCTACCCAAGTGCCCCAGAAACATCCGAGAAAAACCTCCCCAGGTCACTTTGGTTTCTTTACCCCTCACCAATAAACTTTTTTCCTTTAAATTGAAAACAAAAGGATTTAACACAGTAACATGAACACAGACTACAAAACTTAAGCGCTACTACTTGGTGCTACTCAGAATTATTTAAATTACACATCATACCATAGTACAAGTTTTCTCTAGTAATACAGGAACTATTAATGTATATAAGAAACTTACTTTCGTATGTTTCTCCTTTAGAATGACCTAACGGAACAGTGGCATTTTCTGAAAGATTTTTTACTTCTTGTTGACCAACTTCATCCTGATTCTTTCTTCTTCTTTTCTTTTGATTTAGGTCTGTTTCTAATGCAATCTGTTCTGAATCCTGTGCTGTTAAAGTCTGAGAGTGCTGTTCTTCTTCAACTATCTGAGCATCCTTTTGAGATGGTTCTGTGTCTGAAATTCTGGTGCTTGGAGATACATCTGGATCATCATTTCCTCCTTCACTGGCAACTTTTTTCACTTTGAAAATAAAAGATATTTCATAAACATATAAATAACCTAAAGAAAAATTCTTAAAAGATGGAGAAGATAAATACTGAAGGGTATCTGGGCAAAAGTTTGAAGACAACCTAACACATCCAACTGGGAATGACTAAAGAAGTTGTAATACACTTATGCTGTAAAAATCCACACAACAGGGCCGCCTGGGTGGCTGTCATTGAGCGTCTGCCTTTTGCTCAGGTCATGATCCCAGGGTTCTGGGATCCAGCCAGCGTCGGGCTCCGTGCTCAGCGGAAGGCCTGCTTCTCCTTCTCCCCCTCCCCCTGCTCGTGTTCCCTCTCTCGCTATCTCTCTCTCAGTCAAATAAATAAATAAAGTCTTAAAAAAAAATCCACACAACAAATAATAATGAGGTAGGTTTGTAAGTAGTAATATGAAAGATTTAAAAAAAATTGTTGCCCAAAAAACTCAAGTTGCAGAAAATATATACAATATGATCTCATTTTTATTAAGCAAAAACAATTACATATCCTCTAAGACACACATACACTTGAATAGAAAAGTTTACTAATAGTTATCCCTAGAAAATCTGGACAATTTGATTTCAGGGCAGGGTACAAAAGATAATTCAACAAATTTATTTTCTGCATCATTTATTTTTCAATGAACAATCTTTTTAACAAATATTTTTAAACAATTTCTAGTGCCTTTTTTATGAAGGCATATTCACAGTTAACTGTATCAAAAGATGAAAACAATAAATCACTTTTAGAAAACCAAACAAGAGATCACCATGGAGACATCAACCAAAAACAAACTTAACTTCACAACCATGGTCGATCAAGACATCTTCTCTAAAAACATCTAATCTTTAAAAAATAATAAAATTCAGTGTCATTTACGTTGGTTCAAAAAAAAAAAGTCATAACAAGATTTTAAAACTGGGAAGACAACTGGGTTCTCTAACAGGATAATAAACAGTAATTTTTAAATTCTGAGACTTGTAATAATATATATGAAAAGTTCTCCCATTAAGTAAGATACAATGACTTACTCATGCTTTCACCTATAACATAATAATCATGTTAATATACCTATTTTAATCTCCAAGGGCCATGTATAGTTACTAAAAGAAATGACTAAAGAATGAAATGATTTTGTAGTTACCAATACGATGTTTAAAATGATACAGACATGCTCCAGAAAAAGAAATGCAGGATTGCTCCGTGCAGAAGAGACTTAATGTGGCAGGCCTCACTGCTATCCCTTCAAAGTCCTGCTTAAAAGGTTGCCCTTTGGGACACCTGGGTGGCTCAGTTGATTGGGCCGCTGCCTTTGGCTCGGGTCATGATCCCGGCATCCTGGGATCGAGTCCCGCATCGGGCTACTTGCTCAGCGGGAGCCTGCTTCTCCGTCTGCCTCTGCCTGCCATTCTGTCTGCCTGTGCTCACTCTGACAAATAAATAAATAAAATATTTTTTTAAAAAAAAAGGTTGGCCTTTGGGCTGTGTCTGGAAACTTGCTCTTGGGGAGAATTCACACAGCCTGACAAAAGTGGCCTAAAATGCTTGTACAAACAATGTGGTTTATGCTGAAAAATTATTTTCGTTTTGGGAGTTCTGAATTCTGATATGTGCCAGGCAGAGGGTGTCTATATGACCAACTTCCAATAAAAACCTCAGATACTGAGTTTCTTTCTTTTTTTTTTTTTTTTAATATTTTATTTATTTATTTGACAGACAGAGATCACAAGGAGGCAGTGAGGCAGGCAGAGAGAGAGGGGGAAGGCAGGCTCCCTGCCGAGCAGAGAGCCCGATGTGGGGCTCGATCCCAGGACCCTGAGATCATGACCTGAGCCGAAAGCAGAGGCTTTAACCCACTGAGCCACCCAGGTGCCCCAGATACTGAGTTTCTAACAAGCTTTGCTGGTAGACAATTTGTTACGTATCTCTTCACGACTTGTTGCTATGGGAATGAAGCAGCATATCCTGGGTAACTCTAGGTGAGAGGACTCATAAGCTTGCACCTAAATTCCCCTCAACTTGGAGCCACATGTCTTTCCCTCTGCTGATTTTATTCCATATCCTTTTACTGTAACAAATCTCAACTGTTTATATAACTATATGCTGGATCTTGTGACTCTCCAAGCCAATAATCAAACCTAGCAGTAGTCTTGCAGACCCCCAAAGCAGGCTCTTATGGCCCTAGGCTCAAGTCCTGCCTCTTCCACTACTAAAACTCTGAGACCAGGAAAAAGGAACAAGATCTCCAAGGCTGTTTCCAAGTGACTAAAACAAACAGAAAGGGTCTGGGATGTGGACTACCTAACATACAAAGTTCGCCATAGTTCCATGATTCTTTAAAGTACTGGAATGCTTAAACATTGTCCTCCTAGAGGTAAACATTGTCCTCCTAGACCAAAATTCATATAATTAAGAAAGTATCTGCCTAAAAATACAAATACCTACATACAAACAAGTTTCTACCCAGTACAAGTCAACATTAACCCTAAGAAATAAACTGTGCTCAAACAATACAATCCAGTCACAAGAATAAGTATCAGAGTTCCACTTTTTAAATATTATAACTTACTGCCAGGTTATACAAAGGAGAATCATGATAAGTAACCAAACATGACACCCCCAAATTCCAATGCTCTTTTATTAGCTACAACTATGACCTAGATGCAATAAAGATGTCAAATAGACCAGCCATGCCAATTATAAAATTTACAAGGAAGTACTATTTTGGGCAAGATAACGAAAAGATTAGAGAAAAACCAATTCTCCCCAATTGATGCCCTGATGATCTCAACTACCTGAACTACAAAGGAATGCTCAAAGACTTGAGGGACAACATTCCAAGTTTATTATTATTAAATAATAGAACACACTTCCTTTTACCTTTTACATTTTTCCTTGGCTTAGAGGATTTCTTCTCCTTTAAACTCTGATTTTTAACAGATTTTTGTTTTCTTTTCTCTTCTTCAGCAAGAACTTTCTGAAGCAAATGAGCAAAAAAATCGAAGTCAAAAGGGCGCTTTTCCTCTGTTAAAAAAAAAAAAAGAAAAAGAACCTTCAAATTTTTATTTTAAAAAGGGAAAGAATTTTCAAGTATCATGATGTCAAAAGCAAATGGACCTATTAGCAGGAGAATGCACAACCAACTCTAGTCACTGTAGTAGTCAAACAAAGGAAAACTGAGCAATAAAAAGGAATAAGCTGCAATAGTTTAAAAAAAAAAAGTAAAAAGGAGCTATGTACTGATATAAGTAATACTATAGGAAAAATCTCAAAAATACTGCCTAAAAGGAGGCAGACATAAAAGAATATATACTGTATGATGCCATGAATAAGAAGTTCTAGTACAAAGCTAAACTAACCTATGATGATTCAAATGAAAACCACGGTGGTCCTGCATCAAGACAGCCATGGAAACGGACTAGAAAGGGACACAAGGGGGGCACCTGGGTGGCTCAGTGGGTTAAAGCCTCTGCCTTCAGCTCAGGTTATGATCCCAGGGTCCTGGGATCAAGCCCCACATCAGGCTCTCTGCTCAGCAGGGAGCCTGCTTCCCTTCCTCTCTCTCCCTGCCTGCCTCTCTGCCTACTTGTGATCTCTGTCAAATAAATAAATAAAATCTTTAAAAAAAAAAAAAAAGGGGGACACAAGGGACCTTTCCGAGGTGATGAAAATGTTCCATACCTTGTTTTGAGTCGTGATTATACAGGTATACTCTTTGTCACAACTCAAACTATAAATTGCACTGTAAGTAAATTATCAATCAACTTTAAGAAAAGACTAATTAGTATGACTAATTCCTCAAAAGCCTCCCCACCACCATATGTCCTCTCTTCAACACAACCCTTTCACTATTTACTCTTCCAAGTATCAGTAAAAAAGGAAGCAAATGAATTTTGATCAGGACCACTCTCACTAAATAGCCAACAACAACATTACATCAGAAAGAGCCATGAACAGGGTGCTTTGCAGGCTCAGTCAGCAGACTGAGTCATAGGACTCTTGATCTCAGGGTCGTGAGTTCAAGCCCCATTGCTGCGTGTGGAACCTACTTTAAAAAAGAAAGAGAAAAAGAAAAAGAGCGAGCCATAAACAAACCAGGAATGAATCCATAACAGGAGTCCAATCCTTGCCTAATATCTACATCCAACAATACAGTGAATGTAGAAAAAATTGTGCTTTATATACATAAGCCCCAATATTGGTTTAATTGCAAGATGACTACAACATGGCTTCAGAAAAAAGAGGTATATAGGGGTGCCTGGGTGGCAGTCAGTTAAGTATCTGCCTTCAGCTCAGGTCATGATCCCAGAGTCCTGGGATTGAACGCCGCAGTGGGCTTCCTGCTCAGCAAGGAGCCTGTTTCTCTCTCGCCCTCTGCTGCTCACCCACTTGTGCTCGTTTGCTCTCTCTGTCAAGTAGATAAAGAAAATCTTCAAGAAAAAAGAAAAAGAAAGAAATAGCAGCATATACCATAACAAAAACAAATCAGCCTCAAAAAACCAAGCCCAAACCTGGAATTCCTGAAGGCCCTGTTTATTGTGGACCCAGTCTTTTTCTGTTCTGACCACCCACAACAATGATTCTGAAAAATACACCATTAAAATCATTCTCTGAGGATGGGGCCCATGGCTGGCTCAGCTGGTAGAACATGCAACTCTTAATCTTGGAGTTGTGAGTTAAAGCCCCAAGCTGGACCTAGAAAATGCTTAAATAAATAATTTTTTTTTAAAAATTCTCAAAGGAATTGAAAATGTTATAAAAGAAAAAAAATTGAGGTTTTAATTTTTTTTTTTAAAGATTTTATTCATTTATTTGACAGAGAGAGAGATCACAAGTAGGCAGAGAGGCAGGCAGAGAGAGAAGGGGAAGCAGGTTCCCTGCTGAGCAGAGAGCCTGATGTGGGGCTCGATCCCAGGCTCCTGAGATCATGACCTGAGCTGAAGGCAGAGGCTTAACCCACTGAGCCACCCAGGCGCCCCGAGGTTTTAATTTTTTTTTAATTTTCCACTACAAAGCACCCAAATCAGTGAATTTAACAGTTTTCTATTATAATGGTTTTAACAATGCCTCTACACCCCCATAAAGACTACAGATCTATAGATTCTTTTCTTATTATAATGCACTGAATGTAATACAGTTTCAGGACTACCTCTCCAAAATGGAGAAGGCTGAGGACCAAAACAATCCAGATATTCCAGGAGTCATTCCTGGAAATCATGTCCCTGAGGGCCCAACACAACATTGGGTGTAGAGTCCAGTCACCTGCCTTAGTATCTACTCATAAAGTAAACACAATATCAGTTCTCACTTGAGGTTTTGTTCTGAGATTAGCACTCCAGCAAATGGATACTGAATACATTTATTTATCATGAAACATTGGTAACTGTCTTCCAGACAAAGAATACAGGTACTACTTTATTTTTTTTAAATAGGTATTGAACATTTTTTTTTTTAAGATTAATTTATTTGACAGAGAGAAACACAGCAAGAGAGGGAACACAAGCAGGGGGAATAGGGGAGAGAGAAGCAGGCTTCCCACCGAGCAGGGAGCCCAATGGCAGGGCTCAACCCCCTAACCCTGGAATCATGACCTGAGCGAAAGGCAAACCCTTAACGACTGACCCACCCAAGCGCCTGGTATCAAACCTTTATTTATCTGTCTTTTAAATTTTTTTTTTTAAGTAATCTCTACACCCAACATGGGGCTCTAATTCATGATCCCAAAATCAAGAGTTGCAAGCTCTTACTGACCGAGCTAGCCAGGCGTTCCTATAGGTACTATTTTAAACAATGCATTCAAATTTGTTTTTCGGTCAGATCCCTTGATGTTTTCCTCTGGACTCAAAAAGAAAAAAATGTTCATTTCAATGAGGTTATTACTTAAAAGCTAAAAAATATGTATCATTGTTTCAAATCAGGTATAAATTCACACGCCATCTTTTCAGACAAAACTTTCCTGACAACTTGATCTACATATCCACTCTTCACCCCTCTTTTTTCTTCTTCTTAGAAATTACTCACTTTCTGCAATTAACGATGCTTACTGACTTTATCCTTTCCGCCACTAAATTAGACTTATGGCTCTAACAACAAGCTTCTCATCTGCCCTGTTCACCATTATATCCCCAATGCCTAGAATACTAACTAGCACACAGGAAGTATTCAGTATTGTTTACTGAATGACCACAAGAAAGAATCATCTATAGGGGCGCCTGGGTGGCTCAGTGGGTTAAAGCCTCTGCCTTTGGCTCAGGTCATGATCCCAGGGTCCTGGGATCGAGCCCCACATCGGGCTCTCTGCTCGGCAGGGAGCCTGCTTCCTCCTCTCTCTCTCTCTGCCTGCCTCTCAGCCTATTTGTGATCTCTGTCTGTCAAATAAATAAATAAATAAAATCTTTAAAAAAAAAAAAAGAAAGAAAGAATCATCTATAGTGTAAGCTCTTCTAGAAATTCCTTGAATACAGTTTCCTCAAAATAAAGAACATTTAGAAATGGTGTCTTCAGGGGGCACCTGGGTGGCTCAGCTAGTTGAGTATCCAACTCCTGATTTTGGCTCAGGTCTTGATCTCTGGGTTCTGGGATCGAGCCCTGTGTCAGGTGCTCAGGGGGGAGTCAGCATGAGATTCTCTCTCTCCTTCCTTCTCTGCCCCTCCCCAGCATGAGATCTCTCTATCTCAGTTCCTCTATAACTTCTGGAACTCAGAGCTCTGCTTTCTTGCTTCTTGATGTTTTCGCTTATCCCTTCCCTTCCCTACAGATCTGTTATCAGTTCCCAGACCTGCACTCCTAAAGAGAAAAATCTCCAGTCTTTTTCTTCCTATGACAATAAAGAGACAAAACAAGTCTAAAACACAATGGAACTAAACACAAAAGACTGGTCATTTTTTAAGATCTCCAAGTGATATGTTGTAAAAGAGATATTAATACTTACGAAAGGCTTTGTCTATTCTCCATCCATTTGTTTTCTCTTCACGTTTAAATTTGTTCTGTTAATAAAAGAAAAAAAGAAAACTTTAGTAATTTTCTCCCATTAAAAAAGTGACAATTAGGGGCGCCTGGGTGGCTCAGTGGGTTAAGCCGCTGCCTTCGGCTCAGGTCATGATCTCAGGGTCCTGGGATCGAGTCCTGCATCAGGCTCTCTGCTCAGCAGGGAGCCTGCTTCTCTCTCTCTCTCTCTCTCTCTCTCTCTCTCTGCCTGCCTGTCTACTTGTGATCTCTCTGTCAAATAAATAAATAAAATCTTAAAAAAAAAAAAGTGACAATTACAGGGGTGCCTGGGTGGCTCATCAGTTAGGAATCCGACTCTAGACTTCAGCTCAGGTCATGATCTCAGGGTCATGAGATGGAGCCCTGCTCAGGCTCAGCACTGCGCATAAATGAAGTCTGCTTGAGAGTCTCTCTCACACACATTCCCTCTGCCCATCCCCCTCGCTCACATGTACATTTCTGTGCGTGTGTGTGTGTGTCTCTCTCTCTAAAAAAATTAAAAAGTGGGGCACCTGGGTGGCTCAGTCAGTTAAGCATCTGCCTTTGGCTCAGGTCACAATCCCAGGGTCGTGGGATCAAGCCCCATGTCGGGCTCCCTGCTCAGTGGGGAGCCTGCTTCTCCCACTCCCTCTGCAGCTCCCTGTGCCTGTGCTCTCTCTCTCAAATAAATAAATAAAATCTTTAAAAAAAAAAAAAAAGAATATCTGAAAAGAGTATCAAAAAAAGTAAAGATTACATTTAAAAATAAACATTAAAATAAAATTCTTATAATAACAAATGATTCTCTCCTAAATAATGTCTTTGCCCAGGGGCACCTGGGTGGCTCAGTGGGTTAAAGCCTCTGCCCTCGGCTCCAGTCATGATCCCATGATCCCAGGGTCCTGGAATCAAGCACCACATTGGGCTCTCTGCTCAGCGGGGAGCCTACTCCCCACCACCCCACCTGCCTCTCAATCTACTTGTGATCTCTGTCAAATAAATAAATAAAATCTTTAAAATAATAATAATAATAATAACAATGTCTTTGCCCAGAGGCAAGCAGCTTAAGCCTCCAGCTTTAAATAATGAAAGGGGTGCCGAGGTGGCTCAAATGGTTGGACATGTGCTTTCAGCTCAGTTCATGATCTCCAGGTCCTGGGATTGAGCCCCATGTCAGGCTCTAAAGCTCAGTGAGGGGTCTGCTTCTCCCTCTTCTTCTGCCTCTCCCCCTGTTTGTGTTCTGTCTCTCTCTCTCTCAAATGAAAAAATTTTTTTAAAAAACTTAAAAAAAGATAATAATAGGGATGAAGATATATATTGAACTCCCTGAACCTCCTTATAATCAACAGCATAAATCAGCAATGGAAGTGAAGTTTATAGAGAATACAAATAAATAAAGTCAATTAGCCTGGTAATAGATCAAACTATAATCAATTAAGCTAACTACTATTAGTTTTTTAAAAACTAATATATCTGCATCAAGTTAAAATCTTGTTATTATTTTAATTTTTTTTATGACATGGAAGAGGGACTGTAAAGAAACAACTAAGCAATTTTTGAATCAGGCAAAGTTTATCTTTAGAACCATCTTTATATTAAGGAACATTTCTTGATTATCTGAGCACCAAAGATTGCATCATTCTCAGCTGCACTCCAGATTACTTTAAGATGGAGATGGTTAAAGTTTAAGATTCCATCCAAAAGTCATTATGAAGTCTGAGAGTATAAGTCTGTGTTTGAGAATGTCAAAAAATGCATACATACCCTGGAGGAGTAAATAATCACTAATCTCTCCCTTCTACAAATCAGTAGTCTAAAAGTTTTTATTGAAAATATAAAAATCAAAGTTTTTACTGGACAAAAATAGAGAACAGTCACAAGAAGTGCTTCGTGGCCCCCTTCTTCCCTCTGAAAAAACCTAACCATTAACCTGACTTTAAAAGAACACACTTTCTTGCCTTTCCTTACTGTTTATCACTCAAGGGCACATCTTTAAATTCTTTAGTTTAGGGCGCCTGGGTGGCTCAGTGGGTTAAAGCCGCTGCCTTCAGCTCGGGTCATGATCCCAGGATCCTGGGATCGAGCCCTGCGTCGGGCTCTCTGCTCAGCAGGGAGCCTGCTTCCCTTCCTCTCTCTCTCTGCCTGCCTCTCTGCCTACTTGTGATCTCTGTCTGTCAAATAAATAAATAAAATCTTTAAAAAAAAAAACCAAAAAAAACTCTTTAGTTTAACCTGGCCCACTTTTTAAAAACTTCATAGGACTTTAACATCTTTTCATCTATAGGTTACCCTTCTTTTCCAATCTTTATCTTCTTCATAAAACTTATTACCAAGTAACACAGAATTTTTCAAAGATCATCATCTTTCTTCTATGAAGATTATTTTATTCTTTAAACATCTCCTCAAAAGTTACAGGCTATCATCACTAAATTAAACATCCTAAAAGAAATGCAAATAGGCTTTAGGCATTATTCAATTTTAAAACAACACTACACCATATTTTACCTAAATGGGAATATAATTGAGAACAATTTAAAACATTTTTTAAATGTTTTAAATGTTTAAATATTTAAATTGTTATTCCATTGAATTTATAGGCAGGAACTATTCCAGACTAAATTCCATGATTATAAAATAAATCCCATTATATCCACCTCTAACGCTAGTAAAGTAACTGGTTACAGGCTTACTTAACACATCCAACCCCACCAAAAATAACTTTATTACCTCTGAACAAAATAAATGAATCAACTATTTCCAAACACTGGACAATGATAAGAGCAAAGAAAACCACAATCACACATTTCCAGAGAGAATGGAAACACATAAGATGTACCAGTGTTCACCCTGGCTCTCTGACTGGTCTACATTTCCTAAACAACGAAAAGGAAATAAAGGCCAAAGGGAGCAGAACTCTCACTGAGCTAAGGAGATAGAGAATCTTCAGGGGTTCTAGAGAAAAGACAGCTATTTAAAAGGGGAGCCTCCAAGGAGCACTTGGGTTAAAGCCTCTGCCTTTGGCTCAGGTCATGATCCCAGGGTCCTGGGATCGAACCCCGCATCGGGCTCTCTGCTCAGCAGGGAGCCTGCTTCCCTCTTTCTCTCTGCCTGCCTCTCTTTAAAAAAAAAAGGGGGGGCCTCCCAAGCCCAGTAGAAGTATCCCACAGGTCCTTATTCTACATCTGGGTTCCACGTACCCAAAGCATAAGGCCTAGTAGAGAACAACCTTCCTAGGGTTGTTCTCTACTAGGAAGGAGAGCAGAAGAAAGATACTAGCAGCCACACAACACAATGAGGTGAGAGAATCCTAACCCACACAAATGGGAAGTTCACACCCGTTTACTTCAGACACCAGAAGAGCCACAGTCCTTAGAGATAAGGACCACAGACTTACAGCAGCCTTTCTCAATTGGGGTTCTAGCAGAATTAAATCCTAATGCCCTAAAACATCCCCTATACATAATGAATTACCTTCTCTCCTGTGCATCTAGAACAGTATTAATATGGTAGTCCTTGGAGAACATAGAAAACAGTAATTCAAATTATTTTCTATGATTCAGATGAGAAACCTAGAATAAGGACCAGTCTAGATTTGCCTTATTAAAGCCTAAAACCAAGCCTAGAAAGGAATAAGGAGAGTTGGGAGAACATTAGCTACCCTTTAGAATAAAACAACACTCTTTAAAGGAAAAAAACAAACATAATCTAGACATTATCAAACATACCATCCACAATGTCTAGTACTCAATTAAAAAAAACTCCATAAGACATGACAAAAGATAGAAAAATGTGATACACAAGGAAATAAAAGGAGACGCAACAGAAATAGATCAAGATGACATAAACATTGAAATTAGTAGACAAGAAAGTTAAAGCACCTGTTATAAATATATTCAATGATTTAAAGGCAAATAAAGAATGGATAGGGAAATCTCAGCAGAAGAAAGGAAAACTAAGAAAAATAACGAAGTATTAATTACAGAAATGAAAATTATAACATGAGAAATTAAGCATTCACTGAATGGGCTTATATGCAGACTGAAGAAAGGAGAAGACAGGTCAGTCAACTTGTGAACATAGTAATGGAAACCAATATTAAAAAAATCAGGGGGCGCCTGGGTGGCTCAGTGGGTTAAGCTGCTGCCTTCGGCTCAGGTCATGATCTCAGGGTCCTGGGATCGAGTCCTGCATCGGGCTCTCTGCTCAGCAGGGAGCCTGCTTCCTTCTCTCTCTCTCTGCCTGCCTCTCTGCCTACTTGTGATCTCTCTGTCAAATAAATAAATAAAGTATTTTTTTTAAAAATCAGAAAAACATGAACAGAGCTTTAGTAACCTAACACATATAAATGGAGTCCCAGAGAGCAAGAACAAAGTGGAAAAAATATTGAAAAGACACTATTCCTGGGCAAATCATAACCATACTGCTAAACACCAGAGTTAAAGAAAAAAATCTCAAAAATAGCCACAGAAAAACAATTTATCATATACAAGGAAAGAATAACATAAATATGACTGACTCTTTGTCAGAAATACTAGAAGCCAATGGACAATGGAATGACAATTTTACAACACTGAAAGGAAACCACCTGCATATCCAGTAAAACTATCCTGCAAAAGTAAAGCTGAAACAGAGACCTTCAGATAAATCAAAATTGAGAGAAATTTTTAACAACCGACTTGACATTCAGACCTACAAGAAGAAATGAAAAGCATCAAAATTGGTGGCTAAATATTAAACATGGCTACAAATTAAAACTAGTTTCTCTTTTCTGCTTAACTCCCTTTAAAGATAAAAGACTGTAAGCCAAAATAAGTTGAACGAAAATTGGGTAATGTAAAAATGAAACGCAGAATAGCACAAATGATGAAGGATAAATAGAATATACTTCTAAGAGCTTAATTCTTGTGGAGTATGAAGTATAAAGAGTAAAATGGGGGGCACCTGGGTGGCTCAGTGGGTTAAAGCCTCTGCCTTCAGCTCAGGTAATGATCCCAGGGTCCTGGGATCGAGCCCCGCATCGGGCTCTCTGCTCTGCAGGGAGCCTGCTTCCTCCTCTCTCTCTCTCTGCCTGGCTCTCTGCCTACTTGTGATCTCTGTCTGTCAAATAAATAAATAAGATCTTAAAAAAAAAAAAAGTAAAATGGTACAAGAGAGAAAATAAAAAATTACACTAAATTATCTGAATAACCCAAAAGGAGGCAGCAAATGAAAACTGAAAAACAGTTGGGTTAAGTGGGAAATATTGAGATGGTAGACTAAAGCCCAATCATATCAATTATTACATTACAGTAAATCAATTAATTATTACCTGGAAATGTACAACAGACATTTTGTCTTATTTTTATCAAAGGTCAAATAAGAATTCAATGAATACTTCCTCATCTCTGTCAGAAATGCAATCTATAATTAGATTAAATTAAAAGGTAGAGTGTCAGACTGGATAAATCGCTGGAGCCACTACAGAAAACAGTGTGGGTACTCCTCAAAACAACTAAAAATAAAATGATCATATGATACAGCAATTCTACTTCTGGATCTTGACCTGAAAGGATAAAATCACTATCATAAAAAGATAATAGTATCCTCATGTTCACTGCAACATTATTTACAACAGCCAACACAATCCAGTGACAAATGAATAAAGAAAATGTGGCACATAGGTGTGTGTGTACAGGAATATTATTCAGCCATCAAGAAAAAAATCCTGCTATTTGCAACATCACAAATGGACATTGAAAGCATTGTGCTAAATAAAGTAAGAGAAAGACAAATGATGTATTATCAGTTCAATAACATACTAAAAATGAGTACACCAAATAAAAGAACTTCATATATATCAAAAAGTAATAGATGTAAGCACAGAAACAGGCCAACCTATCTATAATCATGGTTGCAGATGTCAATTCTCTGTTAACTGACAGAACTAAATAACACATCCAACAACTACAGAGTACACACTCATTTCAAGTGCACCAGGAATACTAAGTACGAAAGGTTTTAAAATAAACCTCATTAAATTTCAGAGAGATGGAAATTTTACAGATCATGTTATTTGACATTCACAATGGAATTAAGTTAGAAAACTGTAAGACATTTAGCAATGTCCCAAATATTGGGAAATGAAACAACACACTTCTAAATAACTGACATGTAAAGTAAGACATCACAAAGAAAACTAGATGATATTTTTAACTGAACAATGGAAACAACCTATCAAAACTTATGAAATGCAACTAAAGCAGTGCTCAGATGAAAATGTATAGATTTAAAAGTCTAATTAGGAAAGAAAAAGAGCTTATAATCAATCTAACTTTTTTTTTTTTTAAGATTTTATTTATTTGACAGAGAGAGAGAGACAGCAAGAGAAGGAACACAAGTAGGGGGAGAGGGAGAAGGAGAATCAGGCTTCTCACTGAGCAGGGAGCCGGACATGGGCTCGGATCCCAAGACCCTGGGATCATGACCAGAGCCGAAGGCAGATGCTTAACGAATGAGCCACCCAGGTGCCCCTAAATTTTCATCTTAAGAAGCTAGAAAAAGAGAAAATTAAAGGCAGAGTGAACAGAAGAAAGGAAATATTAAAGAGTTAAAAAATGAGAATACACAAACAATTGAAAACTTACAGCTACAAGTTGGTTCATTAAAAAGATTTTTGGAAGTCAAAATACCCTTAGCAAGACAAAGGTAAAAAAAAGAGAGAGAAAAGGAAAACATCAATTATTGATCAAAGAGGACTATCCACCACACATTAAAAATTTCAGTTAACAGTATGAAAACTTCACACCTATAAATTCAAAAGCTTAGCATCAAAACTGACACAAGACAAAACTGAAAATTGAGCATACCTACAGGTATTAAAGAAACTGAATTTATAATCAAAACTCTTCCTGCAAAGAAAATTACACTCCAGATGGTTTCACTGTTGAATTCTATCAACCATTAAAGGGGAAACACCACTAATCTTAAATCCGTTCAAAGAGGGAACACTTTCCAACTCATTTTCTATGACCAGCATAATCCTAGTACCAAAACATTTTGGACAAAGATTTTTAAAAAATTGCAAAATTTTGGACAAAGACTTTTTAAAAATTGCAAAATATCCCTCGTGAACAAAAATGAAAAAAAATAAATAAAAAAAACCCTCAAGGAAATACAGTAAAATTCAACATACAAAAAGATAATACAAGTTTGGTTTAACACTTGAAAATCAATATAACTGACTAGTCCATTTTCACTTTTCTATACTTTGCCCAAAGACCTGTTGGGACTATACTAAACTTAGGGGAGAAATCTAAATAATTTATGAGAGAAATAGTCAGATTTATCAGTCAGATTAGAAAGTTCCCCTAGACAATTTCTAGCTTTAACATTTTGTTCTTTACAAAGATCATTAGAAAAGGAACATAAATAATATGAACAATTCTTCACTTTTGCAGAAACAGAATAACCATTACACTGTACATAGTCCACATGCGAAGGATCCATGCCCAGCCTAGTTCAAAAAAAAAAAAAAAAGAACTTTCCTAATATTCTTTTAATTAATGAAGGAAAAAAACCCATGGTTGAATAAAGATCTCACTATAAATTGGAAATGCATTACAGCAACATAGTGCACTCAAATGCACTCTATCCCAGGAAACCTGTAATTAAGTTTCTCACAAAAAGAATAAAACAGAGAATGCTTATTCTTTCAGGCATATTAAAGCACTAATTTACACCACTGTTGTTGTTAATAGTGTCCCTGACTGTCCAGAAAGCTAAGGTAACCTAGGAAAACAATGGTTAATTCAGATTGAGAATTATTTAACTTAAAATGTTTCTCTCCATGCCGTCCAAGGAATTCAGAAACACATTGTGTTCAGAAGCTAACCCAAATATTCTGGTATATTTATCCTCCCTCCTCATCACTTAGCTCTTCTTTTATCTTAATTTCTTTGGTTTTATTGGTACTCCCTCAAATCCATTTCCGAAGTGGGCAACACCTAAATAAGATAATATGCTAAAACTAAGGAGGATGTACTCATATTAGCATTGAGAAACATTTCATTACTTTCTGAGCTATAAAGGGGAAAGTTCTACCCAAAACACTGTAGTGAACAAGGATGGACTGAGATTTAAATAAAGTAAAAAAAATAGTATTAGTAATTTTTGGTCCTTTCCAATCAGTGAATGTAATGAGTTTACTTTACCTTAATTTCTATCCTTGCTCTGTGAGGAAAAAGCTGTCCGATCATAGAAAAGTCAGTTCCTACCATGCTGATGGCTAAAAAAAACATATCTGTTTCTGTAAAAATAAAAGATTTAGAAAGAATGAAAATTAATATCAGTATGTCAGAGGAAAAAAAATCTTAGCTTAAGTATATATTTTGAATTAAAAATAAATTTGAGAGTACTTAAATATTATTTAAGAAATCTTTAGTCAATTTTATTGCAAAGAACTTCATGAACTCAAATATCTCTAAACTTTTATACAGAAACATGATAAAAGAAATTTGCATGTTCATACCAAAGCAGCTGGAATAAAAAAAAAAAAAAAAAAAGACAACGACAACATTCTGGTCTCCCAGTGACCAAAACTGTCAGTCACAGCCAATAAATTACCGCTTTAATGGAAGCAAATCAGATGTGCTAATTAGTATATGAAAGAAAGTAACTAAAAAAAAACACAGAAGAAACTACTAATAGAAGTAACCTCAACAGAATAGGATTGGGGAAGTCAGAGGAGGGAAGTATAGAATCTTTCTTGTTGCCCTGTATCAGTCTGTTATGTTTGACTTTTTTCCCAAAACAACCTGCATTATTGTTATAAGAATAAGCAATATCATTCAATAGGTATTATGTGTTTTTTTAACAGCCTAATTTTTACAAACTTTATTATACAACGAAGGTATAACATTTTTATGAGTATTAAAAATACTAATAATTTTCCATAAAAATGTTATTTTTTATACAGGGATTTGACAGGAAAATTCCAGCCCAAATGACCATAATGCTAACTCCTAAAATACTAAGATAAAGCCAGAAATACAGCTCTACAATATTGGGAGAGGGAGCCCCACTGGAAGGTGCCAATAAAAGCAGCTAAAGAGAAAATAATACAGTTTGTGTTTTATTTACTTACAGAAAATAATTCACTTTATTTCAAATAAATAACCTATAAAATTTAAAATGAAAATTAGTGGGGTGCCTGGGTGGCTCAGTGGGTTAAGCCTCTGCCTTCGGCCCAGGTCATGATCTTAGGGTCCTGGGATCGAGCCCTGCGTCGGGCTCTCTGCTCAGTAGAGACCCCGCTTCCCCCTCTCTCTGCCTGCCTTTCTGCCTACTTGTGATCTCTCTGTCAAATAAATAAATAAAATCTTTTTAAATAAATAAATAAATGAAATGAAAATTAGTTACCTTTATTTGACCATGGTTTAGAATAATAGTTTTTCCTAAAGCTGGAATATGTAGTTGTAGAACCACGTTCAAATATGGGATCATTTTCCTCAACCACACAGGGGCCCTTTGTCCTTAAAACTTCTACAGTTAAACTGAAAAAGACACATTTTTAAATAGATCTGCACTAAAAGCAAAAAAAAAGAAAATAAATGATATCTGAATAGTTATCTTTTGAAACCATGGCAGAATCATATCAAAAAAGTATAATTATGAGATATGCATATTTTCTAAGAATCTAATTTTCACTTGAAATGTGGTTGCCAAGGAATAAATATAAATGCTAACATTTTTCCAAAATCCTTATCAGCAATATAAAATTTACACATTATCTTTGAGCCACCAAAAAATTATTTGTTTTATTAACTTCTGAATGTCTCCTATATTTAATATACATTTTCTTATACTAGACCCATCAGAAAATATCAAGAAATATAAGTATTTGATATTAATGTTCTATGTTCCTATACACAAAGCAGTTAAATGCTTTTAACTATTTAATGGCCAGTAAAATCATTATCACAATATAAAACACACAAAAACAATTACTAATAGTATTGCATTAATGTTCAATTATCATAGAATTTTTATATGCTATAAAAAGACTTTTTAACTAACTAAACTGTTGGAAGACTATCTATCACCCTATTCCTATTTACTTACTACCTATGAATTTATCTTCTTTTTAAAAAAACATACTTTGGACAAACAACAAATTCCACAATGTCAAATTTGAAAAATTTAATGTTATAATTGAAAAATTAAACTACAAGGTGAATTAAACATTGTCAAAACAAAAATCATAGAATATTAAACCTACGATTTGTTCCATTTTCATTACTTATCAGACAATAAAACATGGTATTACTTAATACAAAAACCTGAATTTTGACTTCAAGACAATTTTTGAAATCAATCATCAGTAGAGGCCAGCATATGATTAGTTCAGTAGCTCATCCCAATTACCAGTAAAGATAATAAACAATGGATGGTAGGTTAATGGATGACAGATCAAGAGTACTATCTTCTCATATAAAACATAGCATAAAAATTCCTAAAAATTATAAATGAATCTAACTCACTTTTCCATTTACAACATCCATTACAAAAATAAAAAAAAATCAGTGTCTAAGTGACAATGACTGATGCGGAAACACTCTCTCTCATTAAACAAAGCACATTTGTTCTCAGGTTTGAAACCACAGTCTTTTTTGTTTTTTAAACTTACCTTTCTTCATCCAAAATAATGGAACCATCTTCTGCCACTTTTACTCGAGGAACCAGCAGTGGCCCATCATCCACCTCTTCTTCTAGTTCTTCATTATCTGCCGTATCAGGAGTACTCTTACCTTCTTGCCTACCAAATGGAAAGACAGGATAATTCATATATCCATGAGAAGTATTTTCTGAATAATATGAACTTGTGAAATAAATTACTTCAAATTCTACCTTTTATTTCCAACTTTCCCTATGACCTAAATGAAAAAATTCATGTTAAGGACAGGGCTATAAGATTTTTCTAATTCTATCCAGTAGCATTTATTAAAAAGCCTTTACTCACTTTTGAAAATAAAGAAAAAAACTCTCATCTTCTCTGTCTCAACAGAGTATCAGATAAACCAAATAGATACTGGGGAATTAACACACACACACACACACACACACACACCCCTTACAGTTATAAAGCATTAGTTTGCAGATCATTCTATTAACTCTTCATAACAATCCTTGGGGATTAGTATTTTCTTTTAAGATTTTTTAAAATTTATTAGAGAGAGAAAGCGAGCGAACGAGCACGAGAGAAAGGGAGGGAGAGGGAGAAGCAAGCTCTCCACTGAGCAGGGAGCCCAATGTGGGGCTTGAAACCAGGACACCAGGATCATGACCTGAGCTGAACACAGATACTTAACCAACTGAGCCACCCACATATTAGTATTTTCAAACCCATTTGAGGTTTGTAGTAGATAAATAATCTTTGCTTTAGATTTCACAACAATAAAGGCAGACCAAGAAGCTAAACACAGTTTCCCAAATAATAATTCTGAATACATACCTTACATTCAACTACATGGTCTCCTTAAGGTTTTACAGAAGCAAACATAACCCATAAATCTATAAAAATATAGCCTATTATAAAGTCTAAGAGTTCTGCTTTAAAACGATATAAATTCTAAGCAAAACAACAATCATTACTTAATAACCTTTGAAATAACAACCAGAAAATCCCAATGTTTCTGGGAATTTTCCATAATCCCCCCATCCTGAATTTCAAAACTACATTAACTTCCCAGGAAGCCTCTTGGAGACATTTCCTAGTAGTAAGGGAACATTACAGTGCAGCATAGAAGGCAACAAGAAGCTTGTACAAAAAAACAGACTCTCTACTGGCATCAAAACTATAAAAAGAAAGGAAGAGGGGTGCCTGGGTGGCTCAGTGGGTTAAGCCTCTGCCTTCAGCTCAGGTCATGATCTCAGGGTCCTGGGATCAAGCCCCACATCAGGCTCTCCGTTCAACGAGGAGCCTGCTTCCCCCTCTCTCTCTGCCTGCCTCTCTGCCTACTTGTGATATCTGTCTCTCGGTCAAATAAATAAAATCTTTAAAAAAAAAAAAAAAGAAAGAAAGAAAGGAAAGAAAAGGAAAAAGAAAAATATATACATGCTTGCTTGGAGAGACACAGAATGGAACTAGAAAGATACATTAAAAAAACAGTAACATTTGTTGCCTCCACAGAAGAACAAGAAGACAGAAAAACAGATTTGGAAGACTTTTCTCCGTATACTTTTGTTCCCTATGGTTTTTGTACAACTGTATTATATCATTATTCTAAAACAAAACAAAATCCTTTTTAATTCTGAAAGCTTTAACGGAAATCATACCACTGACCATTTCCATATATAATACACAAACAGTGTGGACCTTTCATTTTGATTTAAATCAAGCATTAACTTTTATTTTTGTTTTTCTACTTAAACATTCCTATCCCATGTGACTTGACTAAAACAAAAAGCATTATTTGATTTCATTTTTTAAAAACTCTACCCCCCAAAGAATTTATTAAAAAACAAAAACAGTAAGATAAATGCTTACTCTCTTGTCTGGACTGGTGTCAAAGATTTTTCAGTTTTCTTTTCTTGCTCCAGGGAAGAACTAACAAATAAATAACATTTGTTTTTAAATATGTAAAAAGATTTAATATTTAATATAAAAAATACTTTTTAGGTAATTCACACATCATGTCTATTCTATCCATCACCAAGAAAAATTATTTTAACTTGTTTTTTTAATGATACACCATAACATCATTAATGACAGTGTGTGGTCCAAGAGTCAATTTCTCAGTCAAAAACTTTTGTCATCAAGTATAAATAATCTGATGATTCACAGACCTGTACCCTGAAGCAAGTAATACATTATGTTAACAACAACAAAAAAAAAAAAAAAAAAGGATAAATAATTTGCTACACTCTAAGTAGGGAATGTTTTTACTCTCTAATTCCTTAGCAAAAGGAGGCTCTCTTAGTCCTGAGGCCTAAAGTGACTTAGCCGTGGCTTTTCTCCCAACCCTTAGATGTCAAATAATGCAAAACCTAGGTTTTTGGCCCTTCCTTCACTAGGCCAAAGACCTGCTGAACCTGAAAAAGGCTATACTGAAAACATGGCACTATTCCTACATCCATCTGCTAAACCATGAAGAACATACACTGAAATTTACTATAAACCATCTGCTTCTCCAGGCTAACTTGATTAAAGAAGCTTTGTTCTTGGAGAACTTGTTAATCAAATGCCACTATATTTAATTAGGAGGTAGGCCATAAAATTAGACCATTCCTTTAGATTCGGGTTATAGTGTACAAGAAATAGAATCCGTAATATCGATTAGAGAAAAACTGCTTAGTTGGTTTTACAACAACTTAGTAATATAGGAAAAGAAACTTACTTTTTAATCTCAGAAGTAAAGGATACCATCCCAAGAAAGCAGTTACCTGAAATACCACTAAGTTTTGTTAAAAAATTCTCTCTAAAAGAACATCGTTATGTGCTATAAATTTTATCAACATGCTTTTGGAAAACACTGAAACTCTACTCTAAAAGTGATACTTAAATCACTATACACTCTAAGAAAGGAAAACAAGTAAAGTTTACTTACGTCATTGGATTATTATCTGGCAGGTAATATATGAAATCTCTCATAGTCATTTTTGAACGATCTGGTGGCTTCTGACTTTCATTTATGGCATATTTGTTTTTCCATTGCTTCTATTACACGCAAACACATACAAAGATTCACTTTTATTTTACAAATACGGAAGAATTTCACATGTACTATACTCCAAGGTATAGCTCACTGCTGCATTCATTCCAAGTGATTTAATATTATTCCTACCACAATTATTCTTAATTTAAGGAAAAATTTCTTACAAAGTGAATTTTAAAAGTTGTAGCGCATCAAGGAACCTTAAAAACAAAAGTGTCCAGGACTGGACAAAAGCTCAATGTATAAATCATACAAATGTCTTCTAACTATAGGAGTTTACTAAGAATTTATAAACATACAGCTTTTTTTTTTACATTGCAGTGAATTGGATTTCTGTGAATTTCATAAAATTCTTGAAGCAAATGTTTAATTTTTTAATTCCCGAGAAGAAATCTACCAAAGCAGATTCAATAAATACTGAACATCTGGGAAGACTTCAATTTTAGAGGAACAGATTCAAATCCCACTGGTGTTTGACACAAAGCAAGTAACATCTATGAGCCTATCTCCATCTGTGTAAAACAGTGATGTCTACTTCACAAATGTAATAGAATTAAATAACAAATATAAAGCACCATGTTAAGTGCCTTCCTCTTAATTAAAAAGGGCATTCTGGGCTAAAATTAATAAGTCAGGAAATGACAGATGTTCGTGAGGATGCAGAGAAAGGAGACTCCTCCTACCCTGTTGGTGGGAATGCAAGCTGGTGCAGCCACTCTGGAACACAGTATGGAGGCTCCTCAAAAAGTTGAAAATAGGGGCTCCTGGGTGGCTCAGTGGGTTAAGCCTTTGCCTTCGGCTCAGGTCATGGTCTCGGGGTCCTGGGATCAAGCCCCTTGTTGGGCTCTCTGCTCAGCAGGGAGCCTGCTTCCCCCTCTCTCTCTGCCTGCCTCTCTGCCTGCTTGTGATCTCTCTATGTCAAATAAATAATAAAATCTTAAAAAAAAAAAAAGCTGAAAATAGAGCTACCCTATGACCCAGCAATCGCACTACTGGGTATTTAACCTGAAGATACAAATGTAGTGATCCAAAGGGGCACGTGCACCCAAATGTTTATAGCAGCAATGTCCACAATAGCCGAACTATGGAAAGAGCCTAGATGTCCATCAACAGATGAATAGATAAAGATGTGGTATGTATACACACACACACACACACACACACACACACACACCATGGAATAATACTACGCAGCCATCAAAAAGGAAACAAAATCCTGCCATTTGTAATGACGTGGATCAAACTAGAGGGTATTATCCTAAGCGAAAAAAGTCAATCAGAGGGGTGCCTGGGTGGCTCAGTGGGTTAAAGCCTCTGCCTTCGGCTCGGGTCATGATCCCAGGGTCCTGGGATAGAGCCCTGAATCAGGCTCTAAATAAATAAAATCTTAAAAAAAAAAAAAGTCAATCAGAAAAAGACAACTATCATATGGTATCTCTGATATAAGGAATTTGAGAGGCAGGGCGGGGAGTCGTTGAGGGTAGGAAAAAATGAAACAAGATGGGACCGGGAAGTACACAAACCATAAGAGACTCTTAATCTCAGGAAACAAAATGAAGGTTGCTGGGGGATTGGGGAGGAAGGATAGGGTGGCTGGGTTATGGACACTGATGAGGGTACGTGCTATCCTGAGTGCTGTGAAATGTGTAAGCCTGATGATTCACAGACCTGTACCCCTGAAGCAAATAATACATTGTGTGTTAATAAAAAATTTAAAATTTTTATAAATAAATAAATAAATAAATAAATAAAAAGGGCACTCTGTATTTAAGAATAAGAGTTAACATGTTTTGGGCTCTTACTATCCGCAGAAAGTAGTCTAAATGTGTTTTACACGTATAAGCCATCTAATCTTTACAACCTCCAATGAGATACATACTATCATCAGTCTTATTTTACAGATGAGGACACAGAAACATTCATTAAACTTTGCAAGGTCACATAGTAAGGAATGACTCTAAGATTCAAATCTTAAGTATCTAACTGCAGATTTATATGCTTCCCTATTGGTACAGTGCCCTTTTCAAAAAATAATCTATCTTTAAGATTAAAAGATGGTCTTAAAAAAAAAAAGGGAAGAAGACGGACTCTACGCATACGTGCAAATTTTTCCCATTTATAATTTCCATATTGTCAACTTAGAAAATATTACCAATTCATTTTGCTCAAGTATATTTGTCTTAATTAAAACAAATAGAACTCATGTCCCTTGGACATCATGAAAAACCAGACTGAAGATTTATTTTATAAATATACTTGGTATATTTTTCTATGTATGTACATGTACAGAACTTCTATTTGTGGCCTTCACCAAAAACAATGAAAGATATAGATGAATATATAAAAATTAACATAGTGGGAAAAAAAGTTTATTAAGTCCATTGTGCTTATTAATCAATCAGTTAACAAAAGGGATATTGACTGATGAATTACAGACCTGTACCCCTGAAACAAGTAATACATTATATGTTAATAATAAAAACAAAAACAAAAGGGATATTAATTGATTATGCTCCATTAAATGCTGTAGATATTTTTACTCCAAATGATGCCTGACTAACAGAAAAACAGAATTCTAGCAGGGACCAGTCAAAATGTGATTTTTGTCTCCCTTACCTTCTCTTTCCTCAATTCTTCTTTTAATATTTCTCTTAGTTTCTGGGCTTTATATAATCGATATCTGTCTGAACATGGCTGTTTCTCTTTTGTTGAAACAGGGTTCGGCTGTGCAACTTCTTGATTAACTGTAGATAAGGGATGAGATTCTGAAGGAACAGTGACACCAGGCTTAACCAGAGTAGGAGTACTTGATATTCTCTTTCTTCTCTGTGAAACAGTAGAGGAAGATTTACTGGATTCTTCAACATAATTCTCACTGTCAGTCTTTTCATCACTGTTGAAATTTTTAAAAAAGAAAAAAAAAAGAGTACCATGGATCTTTTATATTCTAGTTTCAAAAAAATAGCCTGGTGAAAATCTAAAACAATAGAACCTCAACCTCAAAAAAACTCAATGACTTGAGATATACAGTAATCATGACACCAACTGCAATAAAAATTTTATTTAGTAAATGTTTTTAATAGATATATTAATTCTAAAAAGACTGCTGATCTTTTTCAAACTTCAAATCCCATAGGGCAATAGAACATATTATTTCATGCTCACGCTATTCTTTCAAGGAAAACAAAAGGCCAAGTTAAAAATTAAAGTTTAATTACCCTATTTTGAACCACTAGATAACTGACAAATGTTTTTCTTTATAATCTATACTAACATCCTCCTGAACTGATCTAAATTACTGAAATTTTACACTATCAACCTAAGATCAGCCAAACTAAACATACAAAACTTCAAACTTCTAAAATATCTCTACTGCAGTACTTGAGAATATTCATTTAGCTTCATTAATCAAACCAAATATTATATGGAGAAGAAATCATTTATCTTTTGTTGGGTAACTAGTTACACAGCTATCAAACTCCTAACTCAAAGAAAGTACTCAGTCATTCCAAATTACATAGTAGGTATATAGCTCAGATTGGATATACATATTTCACGAATGGCCTGAAAGGAAATTAAGTCAAAAAGATAGAGGGGTTAGGGACACCTGGGTGGCTCAACGGGTTAAAGCCTCTGCCTTCAGCTCAGATCATGATCTCAGGGTCCTGCGATCGAGCCCCACATCAGGCTCTCTGCTCGGCAGGGAGCCTGCTTCCCCCCCCCCCCCCCCCCCCTCTGTCCGCCTCTTTCCCTACTTGTGATCTCTGTCAAATAAATTTAAAAAAAATCTTAAAAAGAAAAAAAAAAAAAAAAAAGAGAGAGGGTTTAAAATTAAAAGCAGTTGAGGCGTCTGGGTGGTTCAGCAGGTTAAGTTTCTGCCTTGGGCTCAGGTCATGATCCCAGTCCCAAATCAAGTTCCCTGCTCAGCAGGGAGTCTGCTTCTCCCTCTCCCTCCATGTGCTCTGTGTCTCTCTCTCTCTCTCTCTCTGTGGAATAAATAAAAAAATAAAATCTTTAAAAAAAAAAAAAAAGGAATTAAAAGTAGTCCACACTTGCAGCACCTGTGTGGCTCAGGCGGTAAAGAGTCTGCCTTCCTCTCAGGTCATGATCCCCAGGTCTGGGACCAAGCCCCATGTCGGACTAGCTGCTCAGTGGGGAGTCTGCTTCTCCCCTCTCCCTTCCCCTCACCTCCCGCTTGTGCGCGCTCTCTCTCTCAAATAAATAAATAAAACCTTCAAAAGGAAAAAAAAAAGTAGTCCACACTTTCATGTTATGATTAGTTTTATATAAAAGTGGAAAACAGGGATGCCTGCATGGCTCAGTAGGTTAAGCATCTGCCTTGGGCTCAGGTCACGATCCCAGGGTCCTGGGATAGAGTCCCCAATCCGGCTCTTTGCTCAGCGGGGAGCCTGCCTTTCCCTCTGCCTGCTGCTCCCCCTATTTGTGCGCGCTCTCTCTCTCTGACAAATAAATATATAAACTCTTAAATATAAATAAATACAAGTGGAAAACGCCTAAACCTATAGAATAATTGTCCCAAGAAATCTTTTTTATTTTTTTTTTCTTAAGGTTTATTTATTTATTTGACAGACAGAGATCACAAGCAGGCAGAGAGACAGGCAGAGAGAGAGGAAGGGAAGCAGGCTCCCCGCTGAGCAGAGAGCCCGATGCCGGGCTCCATCCCAGGACCCTGGGATCATGACCTGAGCTGAAGGCAGAGGCTTTAATCCACTGAGCCACCCAGGCGCCCCAAGAAATCTCCATTTTTTTGAAGTTTTCTTTTTTTTTTTAATAATCTCTACACTCAACATAGGGCCCAAACTTACAGCCCCAAGATTAAGAGTCGCATGCTCTTCTGAGTAAGTTAGCCAGGTACCCAAAAATTGTCCAATTTAAATTCATATCTCAGCCTTCATAACGTGATACACGCACCATGTACATTTCACCCAATTATGCTGAAACCACAAGGACAAAACATACATCCTATGTTTTTACCACGTATTTTTACAACTGCAAAGACCTACAAAAAAAAAAGGTAAAAAAACAAATATACTCCCCATATGCCAACTCCAAGAAACCAAATATCCTCAACCTCAAATGTCTCAAGACTACAGAACCTGAGTAATTTATTAAATTATCAAACCTCACGCACTTATATGTAATTAACAGGATCTCTTCAAACTTCATTAACAGTGACTAATATTTGTATTTCCTTTTTTAGAGAAATTTTGAAAAAGTATTCATACAAAAAACTTGTAAGCTACTAAGCATCACTAAGCTGGCAAAATAACACCTTATACCCAGCACCAGTACAGGCCAAAAGTTTGGCCAAAAAGAAAGGGAGTAAAATTTCCACCTTCCTGTCAGAACATACAGAGAATTTATACCATCTCATTGTCACTTAATAGGATCAGGTTTTATTGCTTTCCTCACATTCACATTACAGAAACAGGGGCTGTTAGCAGCCCAACATGTCTTTTTTTTTTTTTTTAAGATTTTTATTTATTTATTTGATAACAGAGATCACAAGTAGGCAGAGAGGCAGGCAGGGAGAGAGAAGAGAAAGCGGGCTCCCTGCTGAGCAAAGAGCCCAATGTGGGGCTCGATCCCAGGACCCTGGGATCATGACCTGAGCCGAAGGCAGAGGCTTTAACCCACTGAGCCACCCAGGCGCCCCAGCCCAACATGTCTTAACTTTAATTACTTTCTTAATTACTACCAACGCATTTATTTTTTTTCATCGCATTTATTTTAAACAAATAACTTTTTGTAGGCAACTATTCTGCCATGCCCTATGTAAGACAGTTTATGTCAGTTTTTTCTAAACTCCACAATAACTCTCCAAAGTACGTAGTATTATCTCCATTTTAGAGTAAGTAAATTCTGCCTGGCCAAGTCTGACAAATTGTTAAATTAAGAAAAAAATCCTAAATCCAAATGTGGCACTGGCACAGGCTTTTCCCTTCAGAAAACATGACCACTATAAAAGGGCACGCCCTCAAAGCAAAGCAAGTAACCACATCTCCTTCCCACTGACACAAATTAGCAGAACCAAAGTAACATTGGTCTTTTAGGAATAATGTTTTTAAAATTTTAAAAACTACTTAACCTCTTCAATGTACTCTGGAAGAATAAAAACTACGGTAAAGTAATCTAAGCTAATGAACATTACCACGTGTGGATACTTTTCACTTCAAAACTGTTACATGTGGATTCTTCCCACCACCTCTTGAAGACATGGTCCTCACCCCGGGAATCTACAAACCTTAACAAAATCCACATTTGCCACACCTTGTGGACAGAACGACAAACTGCAGTTGGGAGTAGGTTCATAGGGCCTCAACTCTAAAGCTTAATGCAGGCGACGGAAGACTCCTATGGTAAATTCATCTGGTCAACTTCCAGGTGACGGTCCCATAGAGGCTGAGCAGAGGAAAATGATCCCCACCGCATGCACTTACCTGCTCCTGGGAGCCTTTTCTTGGGGTTCAGATCCCCCGCAATCCACCGGGGGCACATCTGTAGACTCCGCTAGCTTCGGGGAGGAGGCCGCTGCAGGATCCTGGGGCCTGGGCGCCTCTTGTCCACGTGGGGGGTTGGGGGCGGTGGAACCCCTGGCGCCTACACCAGGCCTGACATTCGGCTTCACGCTAAGGCGTGCCCTGCGGAACATGGCGGAGCCAGGGGGCCCGGGGAGGCGGCCCCAAGGCCGCTCTCAGCCCCGAGCCCCGGCCGCTGCCCGGAGAAGGGATTAAGAACTACGCCCTTTCCACACAGCCACGCCACCTGGCCAGCGGGCAGCTACCGCAGTTTCTCACCCCCGCCGCCTCCTCCTTCCTCCCGCCGCCGCCTCTTCTTCATGACCCTGCTACACTAATAGCTAAGTTTCCCCCAGTACCTTGCTTCCCCGCCCTCATAGGGCGCCGGAACTGATTACGCCATCAGCCAGCGCCGCGGAAGAACGTAAGACGCACAGCTCCCGGAGCCATGGTAACTGTCAAACTATAGAGTCTCTAGTGAACCGGAAATTGGGATGCACGGTGAACCTCTCTCACCTCATCAGGAATCCCTAGGTGTTACTGAAAGGAGGGGAAAGAGGTAGTCAAGCCCCTCAGCCCAAACCTTTCGGAGACTATGAAAATCGTGGGGCGCCTGACTGGCTCAATCAGAAAAAGTGTGGGAGTCTCGTGCAAGCCGCACATTGGGGGTAGAGATTACTAAAAACAATTAAAAAAAAAAAAACTTTTTTTAGGGGCGCCTGGGTGGCTCAGTGGGTTAAAGCCTCTGCCTTCAGCTCAGGTCATGATCTCAGGGTCCTGGGATCCAGCCCCTCATCGGTCTGTCTGCTCCGGGAGGAGCCTGATTTCCCCCTTTCTCTCCGCCTGCCTCTCTGCCTACTTGCGATATCTCTCTCTCTATCAAATAAATAAATAAATTCTTTAAAAAAAAAAAAACAACCTTGTGATCTCTCTGTCAAATAAATAAATAAAATCTTAAAAAAAAAAAAAAAACTTGTAGGGACGCCTGGGTGGCTCAGTTGGTTAAGCAGCTGCCTTCGGCTCAGGTCATGATCCCAGCGTCCTAGGATCGAGTCCCACATCGGGCTCCTTGCTCATCAGGGAGCCTGCTTCTCCCTCTGCCTCTGCCTGCCATTCTGTCTGCCTGTGCTTGCTCTCTCTCCCTCTCTCTCTCTGACAAATAAATAAATAAAATCTTTAAAAAAAAAAAAAACTTGTAAAAAAAGGTGTTGTATAGTAGTGCCTGTTCACCAGCACATCCCCAGAACTTAGAAATTCTAAATTGAGTAGAACATAAATTACAAATTCAGGTATGAAGAAACTGGTAAATTACTTCCTAGAAGGGGAGCTAGATTTCTGGACCATGTTGTGGGAGAAAGACCATTCACTGTATACTTTTGTGTATTTTTTAATATATCTGTTCAAAAATTATTATAGTTAAAACTATATAGTTAGAGTAAATTAGCTTAAGTATTCCTAATCTGCTTCAGGAGATAGAAATAGAGCAATAAACAAGACACTCTGTGTTGGGGAGAAAAAAATACAACAAAAGAACAAGATAATTTAAGAATTTATTAAATGCAATGAAACAAATTTAAAGGGTACTATGACAGGGACACCTGGGTGGCTCAGTCGCTTAAGCACCTGCCTGCCTCGTGGGTCATGATCTCAGGATCCTGGGATAGAGCCCCGCATCCAGCTCCCTGCTCAGCAGGGAGCCTGTTGATCCCCCTACTTGTGCTGTCTCTCTCTGTCAAACAAATAAATAAAATCTTTAAATAAGTAAAGTGTACTATGACAGAGATTAATGGAAGCCTGGCTTATTTTAGGTAGCATGGTTAGGCTTCTAGAATGTCAGGAAAAATGGCCATAGATGAGCTTGGCCTTACACACTATGAGCCAGTTTTTGAACTTGCAGTATAAATTCTCTGACTCGTTGCAAGAGAGAGGCCAGACGTCCTTCATGGAAGGACAAGATTTAACAAAAAAATCCTGCTACATTAATAACAAAATGTCAAAGGAATTAAATCCTTTATTAATTAACCCTTGCTATGTCATCAAGAAGGAGAAAGAAAGGCAAGTGTTTTTGAGAGTAAGATAACAAGGATGGAAAGCACAGAAGAGAGAAGAGATTCCTTTCAGACGGGAAAGAAACTGGAGGTCTGTAGATTCTGTGGGCTCCCTCCAGGATCCGGGGGAGGGAACAAGGCATCAGATACACCTAGAGAAGCTCCAGAACTTAACAAAGAAACCCCTACTAAAGATGTTTCAGGAATGTTGGAGCCACTACCAGGACCACAGAGCTTTGCACAATATATTCTGGTACAAGGGCGCATTGCCTTTCCCCAAATGTTCTGTTCCACCTCAGAATCTAGGGCATTCCCACAATTCTGTACGTAAGGCAGTCAATAATGACAATGATTTAATTTCTCACTAGTATAAAGATGGGAACAAAGTCAGCTTTAATTTTGTTATTAAATATAAAGTCAAGCACACCTGGATGGCGCCATTGTTTAAGCTTCTGACTCTTGATTTCAGCTCTGGTCATGATTCCCAGGGCCTGAAATTGAGCCCCAGTGGGGGCTCTGCACTCAGCTTGGAGTCTTACTTGTCCCCCTCCCTCTGTTCCTCCTTCAGCAAGCTCACTCTCTACCCACCCCCTCTCTCTTTCAAATAAATAAATAAATAAAATCTTTAAAAATAAGTAAGTGGGTGCCTGGGTGGCTCAGTTGGTTAAGTGACTGCCTTCAGCTCAGGTGATGATCCCAGGGTCCTGGGATCGAATCCCATATCGGGCTCCCTGCTAGGCAGGGAGCCTGCTTCTCCCTCTGTCTCTGCCTCTCTGTCTCTCATGAATGGATAAATAAAATCTTTTTTAAAAAATAAAATAAAAAATAAAAATAAATAAGTAAATATTAAGTCCTAAGATATTTGTTACAGAACCAAGTTTGTGGAGTAAATTCATAATGGCAGCACAGTAATTTCAAAAGTATTCAGTTTTCTCTGGCAGATACACCCAGCATTTCTTGTGTACATCATTATGTATCCCTACAACTCACAAAGTATATTTGCAGCCACAAAGAAAAAGCTCAATTAGACCGTAAATTAGGACTACATACAGAAACAACTCTACCACTTACCTTCCAATCCCAAACTGCTTCGTTTCCTTCTCTATGAGCCTGGCCAGAAAGTCAATCTTTTCCCCCTACTCCTTACTCCAGAAGAAGTTGCTTAAATGGAATCAGACACTTGGCCCATAAGCACTGTTGAAGAGAGGTGGGGCTTAAGAAGTGTGACAAGTACACAAGGCCCTCTGAGTTTAAAAGAATGACAATAATAGCTAATTTATTGAGGGCTACCATATATTGAGCACTTAGTACTTCATGTACATTAATTCAGTTAATTAAGGAGGAACATCTGCCTTCCCATTTTACTGGCAAGGAAGCTTTACTGCAATGAAGTAACATGCCCAAGTTCACATATCTACTCCATGGTAGAGCTGGGCTTTCAACCAAGACATTCCGGTGCTCTGAGGCTTCACCACTTTCTCCTACCTTCTCTAAAATAGGTGATTCTTCAGAGTTAAAATAAATATTATTGAATCTTGGTCATATATACTTGAGAGTGCATTGTAGTATTTTCTATACTTTTGTATATGTTTGAAATTTTCCAAAATAAAATTCTTCTAGAAACAGGGCGATTGGGGCACCTGGGTGGCTCGTAGGGTTAAAGCCTCTGCCTTAGGCTCAGGTCATGATCCCAGGGTCCTGGGATTGAGCCCCACATCAGGCTCTCTCCTTGGTGGGGAGACTGCTTCCTCCTCTCTCTCTCTCTGCCTGCCTCTCTGCCTACCTGTGATCTCTCTCTGTCAAATAAATAAATAAAATCTTAAAAAAAAAAAAAAGAAAGAAAGAAACAGGGCAATTTAGGGGAGCACATAGGTGGCTCAGTAGGTTAAGCAGCCAACCCTTGCTTTGGGCTCAGGTCATGATCTCAGGGTGCTGGGATGGAGCCCCACAACTGGCTTCCCGCTCAGAGGGGAAGCTGCCTCTCTCCTTCCCCTTCTCCCTCCTCTTGTGCTGTCTATTCCTCTCTGTCTCTCTCTCAAATAAATCTTCTCTTAAAAAATAGGGCAATTTTAGGGTGTACAGAACTCCACACATTTATCAGTTTGTAATCATTAACGGGATAGATGAAGAATATAACTATTGCATTAACCAACAGGCATCTTTCCACGTCTGTTTCTAGCAATGGCAAACGCACCACGGCTTTTACGCAGGCTCCAAGGTTATCCTGGGCTATTATGAATGTGTGATAAAACTGCTTTCCCTGCCATTCCCTTCCCATCACACAACCCAAGCACAAAGCCATTAACCTACAACTCCTAAAGTACTGTCGACCATGACAAAGGCACTGGGATTAAACGGGAAATGATGAGATTTAAGAGTCTGTCTTAAATTGTCATCTCCCTTCTACAAGTCCCTACCTGTTAGGTCAGTCGCTCCTGGTCTCAGTCTCAATCTCCTCTTCTGTATAAAGAGAACAATGAAGCCTGCGTTACAGCATTGGTGCAGGAATAAAGGAAGAAAATATGTAAAGAGCCATACTGACTTTTGCAGAGTTAACCCTCAATCTGTTTTGTCCCCTTCCTTCTCTTCCCGCTTCTGCAAGGGATGAATAAAAGTTCATGTTCTTTGTTGAAAAATGAGATATAGTAGCATTTATTGTTTTTGTCGTTACCAAAAAATGGAGGCTGGCCAAGGCCCAGTGTTGGGTACACAGTGCGTAAAATCCGCAGACTCAAAACCTGATTTGTAGACTCGACAGTACTCGCGTGGCAGAAAGACCCCAGAGCGCGGATTAATCTCAAGACGCTCTCGTTCCGGGACCCTTGGCCGGGGCTCCCCGCCTACCCCCGGCAGCGCACGCGCAGTCGCTCGCCCGGCTCGCCGGCCGCCGCGATCCGGCCTCGGTGGGCGGGGCCATGGGAGGAACGGAGGCGTTGCCCCGCAGAGGGCCCGCGCGGGCTCAGCCTTCAAGGGCCACCGGTGGGGACGACTGCTCAGCGTGCTAAGAGGCCGTTGTTTTCCGTGGGGGCTTTCTCCCAGGCTCGGTCCGGTGTCGGCATGGCCCGTGAGTGTGCGGACGGGTGCGGGAACGCGGCGGGGAGCGTCCG